CCGAACTCGCCAGCATACGCCGCCGCAGCGCCACCGCCCTCAGTCGCCACCCGCATCAATCCGCCACCACCGCCAATGCCCCCCCCACGAGCCAGCCCCGCACCGTCGCCACGCGCCGCCGCCGCCAACCGGCCCTCCGCCAGCACGCGCCGCGCCTCGACGACCGAAAGGCCCTCGCCCGTCAAGTCCGCCTCGTATAAGTGCGCGAGGTCCCCCATACGCACCGCCCCAAGGAAAGCCAACGTCGGGGCGCAGTCCTCCAGATTCGATGAAAAAGGATACCAGTGATAAGCGAGGAAAAACCCAATCAGATGTTCTAGGGGGCTCTGAAGCTATAGGGGAATAAGGCTACAGGACTATCTGGCGATAAAGCCATATGCGTATACAGGTACATGGCTCCAGGGCTCTCAGGCTCTAGGACTCTAGAGCTATGAGCCTATAAGGCTGTAAAGTTCTAAGGCATTAGAGCTATACGGCCACAGGGCTATACGGCGATAAGGCTACAAGGCTATAGGGCCATACGACTGAAAGGATATAGAGCGATTAGAACACAATGAGCCTATAGGACTATGAGGCTTCAGGGCCACAAGGCTACAGATCTATAGAACTATAGACCTATACGAGTACGAGGCCCTAGTGCTACAGGGCTACGGGGCCATGGGCCCATGAGGCGATGAGGCTACGTGATTGTGAAGCTGTACCGTTGTAAATTTATGGGGCTAAGCGACTATAGGGTTATCGGGCCTTATATATATATATATATATATATATATATATATTATATATATATATATATATATATATATATATAATATATATATATATATATATATAAAGGCCATATAGCTATACAACTATACCGCCATGCAGATACAGGGCCATAAGGCTGTTGGACACCCCGGGACACCCCCACGCACCCCCGAAAACCCGGGCACCCGAGCACCCCCCCGGGCAACTGGCCCGCCCCCCCCCCCGAGCACCCGAGCACCCGGGCTCCGGGGCCCGGCCGCCACATCGGCGGCACACCTCGCCTAAGCGTACAAATCCGCTAGGACCCCCACAGAAACAATCTCTGATTGGGCAACCAACCCGCACGCCCTCCTCGCAGACGCGGACACGCCCCCGCCTACAACGAAACACCACAACTCCAACGCAAACGAACAAACACACACGGTCACACCCACACGAAGACACAACACCCACACACGCGCGCGCAGCGCACACGCACACACTTATCCCCCAGGAGCGCATCATCGCAGAAACGAACGACACGCACGCACACACGAACACACGCACACACGCACACACGCACGCACGCACACGCGCACACACACGCACACACTGACGCCGTAGATTACCCCCCCCCCCCCCCCCGACGAAGGTCCTGGAGCCCGCGCGCTCCTAGACACTCCACGAAACCCGCCCGCATCACGTACACGCCCCGCCAACCGCCGCGACCGCCGCGCCCGGCCTCCCACGTCCACACCTGACGCGGCGACACCAGCTGCCACCTCTGCAGAGCATCGTCCCACCACCACCCCGTCCACGACATCCCGACCCGCGCGGACGGCCTGCAACGCACAGCCCTCGAAACCTCGAACCAAAAGACAATGCGCGACGCCAGCCACGACGACAACACCGACGAGGTCGACGACGACAACGACGACGACGACGACGACGACGACGACGACGACGGACGACGTCGTTTGGAAGCCCAGCGGGCCATCTTCAGACGCCTTGGAGCCCTCGTGGATAACGCCCGCCCGCGTCTCGCCGTCTGCCTTGTGCCCTCTCCCTGCCACGTCGTCATGCCTCGTGCTCGTCTTCCTCCTGCGTTCGCATTTCCCCCCGGCTCTCCCCCTTGTCCTCCCTCACCTTCTCCTCCTTCTCCTTCTCCTTTTTCCTCCTCCTTTCCTCCTGATCCTTCTCCTCCTCCTCCTCCTGTTCCTCCTCCTTCTCCTCCTTATCCTCCTTCTCTTTCTCCTCCTCCTTCTCATCATTCTCCTGTTTCTCATCTTCTTTCTCCTCCACCTCCTCTCCTCCTTTTCCTCCTCCTCCACCTCCTTCTTGTCCCCCTCCTTCTCCTGCTCGCACGTTTCGTGGCCCCGTAGGGAGCTACACCGCAGACGGTTCTCACACCTGCGCTACTCACAACAGCATATGGTAGGGTCATTCGCCAGGATATCTTATCCATCAGCGACCCCAACTCACTGGACCTGATTTCTGAAACTTGCGCTGCGCCCGGCGTCATTTTGGAATATCGCATGCCCCAAAAACACCTCTCGCTCTCAAAGCACAGCTCCCGCTAAGTCTCCACCCCCTCTACCCCGCCCCTCCTGCCCCCTAGCCCCGGCAAGCGCGCGCCCGAATATCCCGTCGCAGCGCGCAGCGCGGCCGCGCAGGCGCCACCTCGGAGCGCGCCGTCGCGGGCGCACTCCCAGCGCGTTCCTTAATCATATAAGGCGGCGGCAGCTATGATTGACTGCGCCGCTGGAAGATATCGCCTAGACAAATGCCAATGGTCCTGCCCGAACGGCGGGAGCAGGATACGGACAGAAGGGTGCCGAGGAGAAGGCGTCATCAGCATCGTCATCATCGTCATCATCGGCAGCATCATCAGCATCATCATAATCATGATCAGAAGCCTTATCAGCATCATCGGCGTCATCATCATCGACATCATCAACATCATCATCGCCATCAACATCATCCTTATCCTCATCATCATCATCAAAATCGCCATCATCATCAACATAATCACCATTAGCATCATTAGCAGCAGTATGGGCAGACGCATCAGCAGCAGGAGCGTCATCATCATCACCATCCGCATTATCATCATCAGCATCAGCATCGCCATCGGTACCGTCGTCTGCATCAACACCATCAACACCACCACAACCCTCATCATGACCGTCACGACCGCCACAGCATCCTGATCCTGATCCTGACCCTGATCCTGATCGTGATCCTCATCGTTGTCCTTGTCCTCGCCCTCATCCCCCTCCCCCCCCCTCGAGGGGCTGCCCGGTGGAAAACGCTTCGGGCGAGCTCTCTGGCGCTGATTCCTGCCGGCGGCCGACGAGCAGATCGCGGCGTTCCGCTGCCCGCGGCTGCGCCCGCTCTGCGAGGCGGCTCGGCGCGCAGCGAGCGCTTGCGGCAGCGCGCTGGCCTTCCGGCCCACAGCGCGATGCACTCCGTCGCTGCCCCGGGAGACTCGGCGCAGATTTCCGAATCCAGAGCGGCGACGCGCAGTCGGACCAAGGCCAGAACTGAATTGCCTTGACATCCTGTCGTTGCAGAGTTATCACACCTGGCGTTTTCTCATTTCTTCTACCGCTGAAACCCCCACGGCCTTATCGGATTGGAATGACGACACGGAAAGACGGGGTCGAGGGCTCCGGGCCTGAATGTTGACGACGGTGCGATTGGTTCCCTGTGATGGACGTTGCGGCACGGTCGGACCTAGGACAGAAAAGCACCAAGACACACAAAACATCCGACAAACACACAGAACGCCAAGGTACCCCCCCAAAACGGCCTCCATCTTATACCTCGGTCCGACTGTGCATCCGAGCAGAGGCACCGCCAAGCGGCTCTGCGGACCTACCTTCCAGACCGCAAACGGGACTCTTGTGCGCAACGGCACTGCCTGCCACGGCGACGCCTTTCCCATCGAGGGCAAAACAGTAAGTGCTGGTCGCAGGCGCGAACGGCTGGCCACTTGCCGCGCCGCCCCTTCGGCCTGCCTTGCAATCGCAAACCAAAAAACAACTGAACACATGACGTCTGCACACCAGAATTGGGAAACGAAGGGGGGCCTACGCGAACCCCATCATGAACGCGAGAAGTAACCCGAGGCGCGCGAGGAGACGCACCACGAAAGAGAATGCGCGCACCGCTACAAAACGAAACAGTGCGTTAAGGACCAAGCTAGACCCAAAATGCGCCGAACCCCACTCGCCGCGCGTGAAAAGCGCGTGTGGCGCCAGGCTGTCACCCTCCCCCGCTGCCCCTCCATTGGGGCCCAAAACGACGCGGAGGGGAGGGGGGGGAGGGCGGGCGGGGGGAGCGCGAACTCCCCAGCGCGCCTCACCTCCCCATCATCGGGGGCGGCCACGTCTACCCACGGCAGCATCCGAGAATCCCGGGATGACCTCGGAGATGGCTGGCGACGCGATCCAACGCGCTGGGGAGGCCTCTGGAGCGACGAAGGTCGCGTTGGGCGACAGGCTGAGGCGGAGATATTGCGCTGCGCATGTTTAACGATCCCGACGCACGGACGACAGCACGCGCCCCCCCAGAAGAAGAACAAAAATAAATAAATAAAAAACAGGACTTTGGTAGCGACAACAGCGGCGCCGGCCCGACGACGCTTAAAATCGGCCCGCCACGGGGACAGACAAAGCCGACCCTTGAACGAAAACTCGCTGTCCAACCCAAAAAAAAAAAAAACGCGCGCGCGCATGCAATATTTGAACAGCGCGCGCGCGGGTCCAAAAATTCTGCTTTCGCGCGCGCCGTCTCCGAGTAACTATCTACTTCCTCTGCGTTTTTGTTGGCCCCCCGCGCTGTACGTTGCAAACATGTTTGGCACGCGTGACTCAGAATAACATGTGACCGCGTAAACACATCGACATTCGCGCAACGCTGGTTTGGTTGGTTTCGCGACTGCTTCTCGACGTGGGAAGGAATGGGCGGAAGGAGAACCGAAGGAGGAAGAGGGGAAAGATGGAGGAGAAAAATAAGTATGATAACAGGGAGGAGGACGAAAACGACGACGAGGAGCAGCAGCAGCTCTGCTGACTCAGCCATTCGCGGTCCTCGACCGACCGACCGACCGGCGCCCCCTTCATCGCCCTCTTCCTCCTCCTCCCTCCTCTCCTCCTCCTTCTCCTTCTCTTCTCCTTCTCCTCCTCCTCCTCCTCATCATCCCCACCCTCATCCTCATCGGGGGGCTCCCCCGACCGCTCGCAAAGTCCACGCGCTGAGGCCAGCGCCGGCAGCACGACGCCTCGCGGCGGCCACCCGCCGAACGGGCCGCGCCGAACGTACAACCACTCCTCCTCGTCGTGAACCACATCGACGATGTCGCCCTGCACCACGGCGATGTAGCAGCGTTGGGCTCGACCGTCTCCGAGATCTGCGCCCTCCACAGAACAGGAACCGATGCCACCTCCGCCTTGGCCACCGTCACCTCCGCCTTGGCCACGATCGACGACGACGACGACAACGACGACGACGAAGACGACGACGACAACGACAACGACCACGACGACAACGACGACAACAACGACAACGACGACGGCGACGACGACAACGACGCCGGCGGCGGCACCGACGGCGCGCGCGTGCTGGACCGATGCGCGCAACAACTTCATGACACTGCACATCTGGGGAGGGTCATTGCTTTATTCGTCGTCTTCCGTGTTCTTTTCTAATATTATGTGTCCCGCCACACTACTTCGTCTTCCTCCTATCCCTCAGCCCAATCCTCCGTTACCTCTGGCTTCTCACCTCATGTACCCCTTCGACTCGTCCTGCCTTCGCCTTCCCGGGGGCGTGGTGCCAGTCCCCGAGGCAGGCGCACCTGCGCCTGCTGGACCACAACACCCGCTGCGACGAGCCCTCCGCGGCCTCGGGCCGCCCCGCGAATTCCAGAGTTTGCTGGGCCAGCAGTTCAAGCTGTCGCTGCACCTCGTCTATCGCAACCGTGGGTCTCACCTGGCCCTGCTGCCACGCGAGGGCACCGGCATCTCACTCGAGGGTCTGCTCTCCCTTGGGCTGGCAATGTTTGTCAACCCCCAACACGAACAGACACGCACACACACATTTGTTAGATCCGCGGGTCGAGAGCGAGCCTCTTCTGGTCGAAGCTAAGCGGGCCGCGCACAGCTTTAATTAACAGAAGAAGGAAAACACAAGGAAGGGCCTCACACTCACGCGTGCGCACACACTCCTTCTCTCACACCCTCACACGCACACGCACACACACTCACACCCACACGCATTCATGCGCATGCATTATGACGTGTATGATTCCGTACCATCGGGGGCTCAAGATTCGCGTGACAACGAACGGAAAAGAACACGATGCACAACAAGTTCGAAGAGCCTCCGGTAACGCACCGCAAACAGGAAGCGCAGGAGGCTACTGGACGCCTCGGACAAAGCACTCTCGCACGCACTCTGCATTGTGCTCCACTCCACCAGGGTCTGGGAAAGAAAAACGAACGCAGAAGGAAACCCACCGACTCACAGAGGCAACTGCCATCTCTGGTCACGGGGGCCCGGCGATGTTCCCAGCTCCCGAGGACGTAGCAAAACCTTCACGCAGAATTGCTCAAACGTCGAAGGTCTGGGCCCACGACGACAGCAACACCGGAAATCCGCCGAACCGACCACGAAAGCGAAACCGACCCCCCCGGGACCGCTCCAGGCACCTCCCCCAGAGGATTAAAGAAAATGGACCGGAGGAATCGAGGGGGGAGGAGACCACAGAGCCGCGAAGATCACCGAATCCGGAGCCCCCCGGATCTTACAAGCCTCGAACGTATCCCTATCCCTAACATTGACACGCCAAAAGGCGATGACAATCTTAGGGATCCGCCCTCAAAAAGTAAGGGAACCCCTGAGATTGGCATCGTTATGAGGAGGTGCCCAGCATAGGGATAGGGATATGTTCCAGGCTGGTAAGGATCGGCAGCACTGGCCGGAGGCCATGACCATCGACCGAACCAGCAGCGGAAGCGCAGCCGACCGAGGCCGACGGGCAGAGCGCCGCCCGCAGGGCGCGCGGCGGCGCGGCCACGGACCGTTGGCCGAGAGCCGCCCGAGCGCGGCGGACTGCCGAGCAGCTGGAGCGACCGCCCCACGGACACCCGTGGCGTCCCCCCTCCCCAGCCGCCCTCTCCTGGGTCGGGCATGCCTGCAGGGGGCCCTGGGGCACACAAAGGAATACACACACACAAATGACAGGATGCCCCATGGTTTTCCAGTATTTTCTAGGTTTTTTGTCTTCCCCCCCACTTCCCACATTGTCCCATATTTTCGGGGGGATCGACGGTGAATTGCGTCTGTGTTTTTTCCCCTCCTGAATGTCTTCCTACAGGCGGGATCTCGGAAGACAAATTCAAAAGCAAGTCAAGCCATAATCCAAGCGAGTCAGGAGAGCAGGAAGCAGTGTCGCCCGACCTCTTGTGCACCGCTCTTGAATCTCACTCCTCCTGTAGAAGGGCACTAAGGAACCGAACTCTATACACCGATGCCTTTTCCTGGTCCCGCACGGAGATTCGCACAAGAAAACGGATTCTGGTGTATACGGCATCCTGGTGTCTACATGGTTTGCTGTCTCCACGGGACAACGGGGAACAACAAAGATACACCACACCACCCCGACGTCGCCCCCGATCCTCCGGAAGCCTGGGGTTCAAGAACAGCCCGCCGCTGGTCATGTCTACGCTCCAGTGTCCGAGGCACGCCCGACTGAGTCGGTCGTGGCGGTTTGTGCTTCTTGTCTTTCTTGTCGGCACTGTTTTGCGGGGTGCTCGCCGCCCCGCGAAGCGGTGCAGTGGAAGGCACACTTCCGTGTAAATACAAAGTGCACGTGGCCCGACACCTAGGATCGCTATGCCACGCGTTGTTGAAACCTTCTCCGAGGGAGCCCCCCACCCCTCCCGAAGCAGCATCTCGAGCAGGGCGTCCAGGTCGCCCGCGCCCTCGAAGAAGTCGCCGCCCCCCGGGGGGGCGCAGCTCGGGGCCAGGTCCGGGCCTGGCCGCCCCGGGGGCGGAGAGAGTGAAGGAGTCCCAGGACACACAAATGAGTGAACACAACTAAAACAAATCCCCGTATGTTCCTATATTTTCTGGGTTTTGGTCTTCCCCCCCACTTCCCATATTTCCCCATAATTTCTTGAACATCGACGATTAATTGTGTCTGTGTTTTTTTCCATCCCCAGAGAGGCCGCCCTCCCTCGGCTCCACCACCGCCACCAGCGGCAGGACGGGGGACCAGGGAGGACGCGGAGGTCATCCTCCTGCTCCTCCTCCTCCTCCTGCTCCTCCTTCTGCTCCTCCTCCTCCTCCTCCTCCTCCTCCTCCGCCTCCTCCTCCTTCTGCTCCTCCTCCTCCTCCTCCGCCTCCTCCTCCTCCTCCGCCTCCTCCTCCTACCTATGGTAGCGGTGGTGGCGCACATCGGCCGAACAGGCCAGGACTGGGACCAGGCCGGTGGCCTTCCCCCGCAGGGGCAGGTCCAAGAGGAGAGGAGAGCGCAGGAGAGGGGGCGGCCGCGCTCTGCGCGAGTCGCTCATCCCAGAATGCTTGTTCCCTACCTAGGCTCTGCCTAGAGGGTTCTTACTTTCTTCCCTACCTAGGCTCTGCCTAGAAGGGTTCTTACTCTCTAGCTTAAAGGGGCAGGGCAGTGGAAAGCGCCCCGGGCGGTTCCCCCAGTCCCCGCCCCGCGGTTCCCCCAGTCCCCGCCCCCTGGGTTCACCCAGCTTAGCTTAGCTTAGCTTAGCTAAGCTTAGCTTGGCTTAGCTTAGCTTAGCTTATCTCATCTTAGCTTAGCTTAGCTTTGCCTAGCCTAGCTTAGCTAAGCGTAGCCTAGCTCATCTTAGCTTAGCTTAGCTGAGCTTAGCTTGGCTTAGCTTGGTTTGGCATGGCTTAGCTTAGCTTAGCTTAGTTTAGCTTAGCTTAGCTTAGCTTCGCCTAGCCTAGCTTAGCTTAGCTTAGCTTAGATTAACATACCTTAGCTTCGTTTAGCTTCGCTTAGCTTAGCGCAGCATAGCGCAGCGCAGCATAAGCACAGCATAGCATAGCATAGCATCGCCAAGCATATCATAGCATAGCATAGCACAGCATATCATAGCTCTGCATAGCATCGCATAGCATATCATAGCATTGCATCGCATAGCATAACATAGCATTGCTTAGCATAGCACAGCGCAGCATAGCATTGCATAGCACAGCACATCACAGCATATCATAGCGCAACATAGCATAGCATAGCATAGCGTAACATAGCGCAACATATAATGTCATACCATAGCCTAGCATAGCATAGCATAGCCCAGCATGGCATAGCATAGCATAGCGCAAGATAACATAGCATAGCATAACACTACTACTACTACTACTACTACTACTACTACTACTACTACTACTACTACTACTACTACTACTACTACTACTACTACTACCTACTACTACTACTACTACTACTACTACTACTACTACTACTACTACTACTACTACTACTACTACTACTACTACTACTACTACTACTACTACTACTACTACTACTACTACTACTACTACTACTACTACTACTACTACTACTACTACTACTACTACTACTACTACTACTACTACTACTACTACTACTACTACTACTACTACTACTACTACTACTACTACTACTACTACTACTACTACTACTACTACTACTACTACTACTACTACTACTACTACTACTACTACTACTACTACTACCGCTACTGCTACAACTGCGACGAGGAGGAGAAGGAGGAGGACGGCGTGTACAGTTACTACTAATATTGCTCTCCTAGGGGCTCCAACTCTTAGGTAAGGTCGCTCTGGCATAATTTGCTTAAAGGGTCGGGCAGTGGAAAACGCCCCGGGCGGTTCCCCCAGTCCCCTGTGAGCGTTTCCCCCAGTCCCCTGGGAGCTTTAGCTTTAGCTTTAGCTTAGCTTTAGCTTAGCGTTCGCTTTAGCTTAGCTTTACCTTAGCTGTACCTTCGCTTTAGCTTAGATTTAGCTTTAGCTTAGCTTTAGCTTAGCTTTAGCTTCAGTTTTAGACTTAGCTTTAGCTTAGCTTTAGCTTAACTTTAGCTTAGCTTTACTGTTAGTACTAATGCTGCTTTCCTAAGGGCTCCAACTCCTAGGTAGGGTCGCACTGGGAAAATTTCTCTTGTCCGGTATGAAGAGGCCCCCGAGGCAGCAGCGCGTCCCCGAACTCGCCCGCGAAGGCCCTGGGCACCAAATTAGGAGAGGGAGGATGAGGAGAGGGAGGAGGAGAAGGAGGAGGAGGAGGAGCAAGGCGGCCGGCTCAGCATGGGGGGGGAAGGGGGCAAGACAGGACTGAAGGGCAACGGTGGGAGTGGAACAACTCAGGGGTGAAAACATCGACCTGGAATCGGCGATTCATCGCCGATAGGTCGGCGATGGGCCTCCGATAGCGACTCGGCGCGTTCCTGGGCGGGGTGGGCTATCAAGCCCCTGCCAGAGATCAGTGGGCGATTGGGGATCGATGCCTGCCCTGAGACTGCCCCCACTAACGTTGCCCCTGAAACACAAGAAGGGTTGCGAGCCACGAGTCAGCATTGAGACACGCGGTGGACCGGGCCGCTGCGATGTCTGCCAGCGGCAGATGCTGGAATGACGGCCCTCTCTGGCCGACGGCTGGACGGCTCAAGGGGGAACCATGCCGCCCGCGAAGTGGGTGGAGAGAAGATTCAGAGATTAGGGCATGAGGGGGTGGCGGGAAAGCAGGAGGGGAGACGAGATGGAGGGGGAAGTGGAAGGTGGTGTAGCCGGCGGTGGGGGGCCCTCCTCCTACTTCTTCTCGTTCTCCGCTTCTCCTCTCCTCTCCTGATCCAAAGTCCTGAGAAGCTAAGGGGCTCCTCAAGATCGGCAATGAGAGAGGGATATGCTTAAGGCTGGGCTGCCAACAACCGACATCACTTTCCTCCGACTAAGTCCCCCCCCGCCCCGCTTCCCCTTCTATCGACCTGTTGTTGCTGCCCATCCTCGTCCTCCTCGACCTCGATGTCCTCCTGC